GACCAAAAAAACGGCATATAGGAGTGGAAAAAAGATGACTTATGTCGACAGAACCTAGTGATAAAAAGGAAAAAGGGTTTAAAGATAAATAGCGAATCAAAAAATAAGAATACGTACCTAAATATTGCGACAATGAATGTATTGGAATGTATTGAAATGGAAGCAACATTAATTAGTCTGACAGAAGAGCTTAAGAAATATAAAATACACGTCATAGCAATATAAAAAACGCATTTGACTGGAAACAAAATCGAAAAAATTAGTCCACACACGTTTTATATGTGTACATACAGCAGAGTTAAAAAAAGATCAGAAGATTAAAAAGTTTGTGATCGCAAAAACAAGACGGCCTAGAAAGCTATGCTCAGCAACGAAAAAGTAGAAAGAGACTTCTAATGGCGCGAAAAAAAAATATATCAATGATAAAGTAAAGCGTATTAAAGAAAATTACAAGAAAAAAAATTTCTACAAAGGGTGGTTTGTGGCAGAAAATTTAAAATATGGGGGAGAGGCTTTACGGAACCAACTTTGTGAGTTAATAGTAGAAGTGTGGGACACTGAAGAAATACCCCAAGACTTGAATAAGTCCATTATAATGCTTATGCACAAAAAGGAAGATACACCTCAATGCGCAAACTATAGAGACATATCTTTGTTAGAGGTAATATACAAAGTGCTGGCCATACTAATCAACAAACTACTAGAAGTATATGTGAAGAAGAATCTAGAAGAAAACCAGGGAGGATTTCGTAAGGAAATATCAAGATCAAATCAAATTTTTATATTAAAAAAATCCTGAGCAATTGCCATGTAAATAATACTTTAGCACAAGTTATTTTCTTTGATTACAAGGCCGCCTACGATACAATACACAAAACCAAATTAATAGAAACGCTAAAAGAATTCCAGGTTCCAAGACAAATAGTAATATTGGTAAAAATAACAATCAGAAAAACCATTTGTGCTGTGAAATGCAATGATACAGTCTCAGAAGAATTTGAAGTAGAAAAAAAAGAGACCCGTTGTCTGCCTTGCTATACAATAGAGTTTTAAAAACACTTGTTATTGCTAACTGGCAATTATAACAAAAAAGACTGATTCGGAAAAGCCTTAAATTGAGACTAAAAGTTAATATTAATAAATGCAAGTACATGGAAAACTCGAACAATAAAGACCAAGGGCTCCTTTAAAAATTAGAGGTGCAGGATTGATCAGTTGTAAAATTTGAGAAGGCGGATGAATATAATGTACTTAGGTACCCCTATTGATCAGACATGTAAGGAAGAAACTGAAATTAACCTGAGACTACCAAGAGCAACAGATGTGCTGGAGCCATAAACAAAACAATAAAGGCCAAAGATATATCTGATAATACAAAAATAAGAGTATACAAAACTATAATTAGACCCACAATAATATATGCTGCCGAGACACGGACTATTCTATGAACAAAACATCCAGAATCGAAAAAGTAGTAGAGAAAGAAAGGAGAAGACGAATTAATCTAGAAATATACCAATTGTATGCTTATCCTCCAATAACAAAAGTAGTGAAAAAGCGTAGACTAGAATAGCTCGTACGCAGAGCTGTAGTGATGAAAGATGTCATAGAGATGGGAATCAGAAACTGGAAGTTGACAAATAAGAACATGGAATAAATAAGACAAAACCATGGAAATTATACGTCCAGCAATGGGTCACATATTATATGGATGCCAAATTAAAATATGGATAATAACTAATACGCAAAATTCAAACGAAATCCTGCACGAATATCTAAAGGTACTTTGCTTTAAAACAGACTAAAAATCATCTTATATTCTTTCTGAAACAACCTGAGAGAAGAAGGTGACATAAATTATGATCACCTGTCCTACTAAGTAAACAAATATGGTCACTCACTGGAACAGACCTCATTTTGTCTTCAAAATATGATCGATGGTATTTAGTGGGCTTATAAAATTTGATGAAGGCATGTATAAGATCTCAAAGACAACGATTACAAAGTTACTTATGTATACCTTTTTCTTGGAGTACGATCTGGTCCAAAAACCCCCACAATGTCCAACACTGTCATTTTTCGTAATGTACTGGACACTAATTTTAGCACTTCTAATTATAGCCATTGTTATCAACCAATATTAGTTAAAAGTAAATAATTAGTTTGGCTGATTAACACAGTTCTGGTTATATTAGTCTTTTTATGAAAGTTATAATCTTTGTGCAGAGCTGTATTAACAATTTTCTTCGCATTATAAATATTTTTAAACAAGTAATATTAATCAGTAATAATAAAAAATAAAAGCATAATATATTTTTGAGCATTTTTGCTAGCATACATAATATATATTTTACAATTTGTATAAATTTTTAGACATTCCCCCACATGGACTTTGAGCCCGCAACTCCTAGTACGGTAAATAAAAATCCTATTGACTTAGAATTCCAATAGTTTTGTGGTGGGGTCTGATAGTCACAGCGCCAGCTGTTTATGGATATTTTTCTTCAAAATGTCTTGGTTTATGGATATTTTTCTTCAAAAATTTACAAAATATAACTATCACCCCTAATAAATACAGATTTCACTACGGCTTCCGAGAAGGTCATTCCACAACAATAGAAATTGTCACAAATATTCCACAAAGTATAAATGACCACAACATATCATTAAGCATTTTTCTCGATATTCAAAAAGCCTTTGACCAAGTCTGGCATGCTAGACTGGTGAAGAATCTACTGAACATCGGCTTGCTATTTACATTCGTTGGACTTCTGCATTCATATGTTACTCAACGTAAAATCACGGTAAAGGTTCGAAGTAATCTCTATGCCTTATTTGCTCCTACAGCAGGAGTACCACAAGGTTCCGTGTTGGCACCAATACTATACACATTATACAACAGCGACTTTCCAAATCCACGTAACACAAGCACAGATACTTCACTTAACGCAGACGACAATGCTCTTGTAACATTTTGATATGCAGATGTCCTTTGTAGGTTTGCTCAAAATCACCTTTCAGGTCAATAGATGGTGCGGAAAATGGAGAGTAACATCTAACCCAAATAAAACAAACTATTCTCTTTAAACATTCCAATCACAGCAGTCACATCATTCACAACGTAGCCGAAAGAATCCTTAGACTTTGGGAGGACGTCACGTACATGAGACATCTCATGTACACTTATACGCACATACTGAGCATATATCAGTCCCGTGAGTACCCTTGCGCCCGCATACATCAACTATCGAATATCCAGCCCATAAACGAGAGACTCTCCTCTCTGAGCAGGAGTTATACGATCAAAACCATCTAAGGCCAAAACTTCAGAGCCCAAAACATCATCAGAACTACCTGCTCATCCTTTGGCAATGTATTCATCAGATATACTAAAAGAAAACTTACCTTCCTCCCCACTAAATTGCTGACCTTAGTCAGCAACGAACTCCCTGATGAATACATGGGCATCGTGGATACAACTCCACTTTATTACCGTAATTAATTAAATGGCTCACTTCGAGCTTTGCTGCGGATAGGGATAGGTTTTCTGTGGTTTTACAATCCTATTACACAATTATACCTGTCTCTAGGGAGGTTACAGCTACAGCTGCCCTCACCGCGGCTCATAACATTTTATATCTCATTTTATACGTAAGCTCACTCATTCATATTACTTGTTAATTAAATATACTAACAATTTCTGAAAAGGACCGTTTTAGCTCAAATCCTTTCACCCCAGACCACCCTTGACATCTACTTCCTCCCCAGGAATAACATAAACCGATGCAAACCACTAGTGAGACATAACACAACGATCCGGAGCCGACATCCAACAAAAAAAGCCACGTCCTGAAGAGAAGAAGACACCTAAAACAGGACAAACAGAAATACGCCAAAGAAAAACAAACTAATCAGAGACAGAACAGCACGATGACAATGAATGATGCATAATTTTAGCACGGCAGTGAAGAAGAAGAAGATGTGTACCTAGTTTCAAGAGGCTAGAACTTTTTCTTAAAGAGTTATCAGAGAGAAATACGGACAAAGCAACCTGACCTGAATCAGGAAGAAGAAGATAATGCTTTGACTACATTGACTACATAAGTATACACTGATTTTAAAGTCCTCGACCAAAAACTATTGTCGTTCTAAAAGCCAAGAAATAATAGTAGTAGCAAACATATGATGACCACGAAAATCATATGTATAAAGACAATTTATAATGAAATAAGCATGCTTTTTCTTTGACAAAAAAACTATGCACCAAGTTACAAGACTGAAATCTTGAGATTTTTTTTGAAGAAATGGTTTGTTGTTATAACCGGTCGTTTAGCAACCAGTATTGTAGCCACTGAGCTACGGCGGCCACGATTTTGAGACTTACAAAAAGAGTATAAAAAAGATCTATTAACTCAATTTCAACATGGTTCTTTCTTATATCCAAAAACGTCTGTGTACAATATTTTAAGACTGTAGGACTTTTCCACCAAGAAAAAGAAAAGGCATAGGAGGAGCAGAAAATAAAAGAAGACTTATTAATCATCCCATCTAGAGGAACAAATTTACCAATATTCAAGACTCTAGGACTTTTTCTTTAAGAAAAAAAAAGACATAAGAAGAAGGGAACCAAAAGGCGACTTATGGATCCAAAATCACATTAAAAGAAATATATGTACCAGTTAAAAGATATAAGAAAAGAAGAAAAAGAAGGGCTATTGATCCCAAATTAAATCAGGCGGAACACTTTTACCAAGTTTCAAGTTTCTGTGACTTTAACTTTAAGAGTTACTAAACTAACAATTGGAAGAACGAACAGAAAATGGCACGATTTTAATACGGATCTGCCTGGCCTTAACAAAGCGAAGGATAAAGACGGTATAAAAGAATGAAAAAAATGATTCTTATACTTGATAATTGTTTTCAAAAATTCATTAAAAATAAAAAAGAATTTTTAATACAAAACAAAATTATTTACAAAAACGTGCAATTTTACAACTTACATAAGCCCGAGTAGCAACTCTAGGATACTTCTCCACGATCCTACTAGTTCTCCACATTTTGAAAAATTGCACTAAATTAGACGCGATGCTTTTGAACTTATCCACGTTTATCAATAAATTACGATATCAGTTTCATAATTAAACAAACTACTAGTTTTTAAATGACAAATATACTATTAATACTTGTTATTGGTGCAACATCATTCGATAAACTGAAATTGTTCGATCTGCGCTTAAATTTAAAGTGTCTTATCAAAATTGCTTAACAATCAAACGAACAAAATATTTAAAAGTAATCGAATAACCTCTAACCTTAGCAACCACGCATATAGAACTTTACTAGGATTATAAAAAACTCCATCACATTTCTTCGCAAATCCTAAATATTTCTCTAGGATAATTGACATTACTATCATTTGAAAAAATATACATACACTAAATCCAAAGATACATTTATAAAAAATGTAAAACGATAATAAATAATGAAAATTTGTTGTAACAAGCAGTTATAAATAAAAAAAAAATGGGTAGAGCTACAATCAATTTATAAGAAATGGTCACATTTTGCTACGAAATAGTGAACTAAATTATTAAACGTAAATCTTTTCTGGTTTTCGGATAATAATATACACTTCTCCAAGAAATTAACGCACCACTTCAATAAATCAATTTTATTTGTAAGCAGGCACAGAAAAAAAAATAAAACTTCACCAGATTTTTTCTACATTTTATTAAATACTAAAAAAAATAAAACGGAAAATTCTAAAAAAATAATGATAAGAAAAGTAAACTAAATGATGAAAAAAGTATTAATATTGAGTGTTTCTACCTCTATTACGTATGTCAGCCTCACATCGTTGGCCCATACTAAAATTAATTGCCGTATTTCATTTTGCTCTAGTTCTCTCCAAATCTGGATCAGCCTCTCTCCCACTTCCTGTAAGTTGTTTGGTTGGATCGGTGTCGCTCTTATTCGCCTACCAAGGATATCCTAGAGATTTTCAATCGGATTTAAATCCGGACTATGTGGTGGCCATTCCATAGTGTTAATTTCTACCTCTTCTAGATAATTTCTGACGATCTGTGCAGCGTGAGGTCTGGCATTATCTTGCATAAGTCAGAAAGTTTCACCGATATAAGGAGCGAATGGTACTACCTGTTGCTCCAGAATCTCCAAAAGGTACCTTTCAGCTGTTACAGTTCCATTTTGTATGACCACTAGGTCCGTACGTGCGGTCAAAGAAATACCACCCCAAACCACAACGGATCCTCCACCAAAAAATGTAATGTGTGAGAAGTTACACAGAGCATATCGTTCGTTGGGTCGTCGCAACACACGAACACGTCTCTCGTTATTGTACAAACAAAATCGGGATTCATCAGTAAATAGCACTCGTTCCCAGACAGCCTCTAACCAATTAACGTGTTCTCTGGCAAAATGTAGTCTCCCTCTTCGATGCTCTGCAGTTAATAGAGGACCTCAGGCGGCAATCCTAGGTGTTAAGTTGTATTCCCTAAGTCGCTGGCGAACAGTTTCCGTACTAATTTGTATAGCATGTACGTCTCGAAGCTGAATTTGTAGACTTCGATGTATTACAAAACGTTGTCGAAGAGCAGATATTCTTAAAAATTGATCTTGAATAGGGGTAGTTCCCGGTTTCGTCCTTGCCTGGTCTGCGAGTATGATCCCCTGTTTCGAGGAATCTTTCTAACACCCGTGAGACGGATGTGTGGGACACATTAAACCGACGACCAATTCTTCGGTAACTCCAACCTTCTTCCGACAGTATCACTGCTGGGGCACATTTATCTCGGGTTAAATTACGTGATTAACGCTCCATAATAAACACAATTAACAATAATCAACAACTAAACAGTAGCCGAATAAAATTCGCGAACACTTGGAAATTAGTATATTTATAAAATTAGTAAATTTTTGTTTCTTTTTGTTTTGTTGCAAAAAAAAACTATAGCGATAAAGCACAGTTAATAAATATAGAGTGTACGAATAGCATATATAATGGGCTTGCAAAATATAACATTACAATGGAAAATTTTATTAACGCTAATAAAATATTGTAATATTTCAAAGTGGTGCGTTAATTTCTTGGAGAAGTATATTTTTATACTCATAAATATGATCTGTTTAACCTACGCAAGAAAGTTAAAGAACTAGCAGGACTAAGAAAACAAAATCCCACTGGCGCACTTCTGAATAGACATGGGACTACTATAACACAGACTGACGAGAAAGTACATAGATGGGCAGAAATATATCGTCAAACTGCTCGATGAGGAAAGAAGAAATCTGGACCATATAAAAACTTATGTCAGAAGAAATATGCCCATGTATTACAAAAGAAGCCATATTACACGCATTAAAAACAATGAGAGTGGGAAAAGCCTGGACTGACATGTTTCCTATAGAAATTAACAAAATTCTAGATGAGAAGCACATTGATGTTTTAGTGACATTCTTGAATCGTTAGTAGTTATCGTCGATTTTTATTTGTCTCACCAAAAAGAAAAACGCAAGAGAATGCAGCGATTACCGCACCATTAGCTTGATGTCTCATGTGCTAAAGTTAATACTAAAAGTCATCCATAACCGAATATATCACAAACTAGACATAGACGTTTATGATATACAAATGGTTTTTGCAAAAACCAAGGAACGCGAGAAGCCCTTTTTTCACTTAATTTACTGATACAAAGATGCCTGGACTACAATCAAGATATATATGCATATTTTATTGACTATAATAAAGCATTCAATAAAGTACGAAATGAACAATTAATGAATGTCCTGAAATCAGAGAAGAATTGACTACAACGACCTCAGGGACCTCAGGGACATTAATAAAAAAACTGAAATCATTCGAGCTATGGGTGTAATAGAAGAGTTATGAAAATATCGTGGACAGAACACGTCACAAACAAAGAAATTCTGAGAAGAAAATTGTTAATGAGTATATCGCAACGTGATAGAAATATCTAGAAACCAATTTAATCTTAACAGCATGTGAATCACTAAAAAACCCGAACAGTACATATTAGAAATCTCAAGAAACATAACAAGGTGGGTATCCACTATTTTCGCAAACTTCTCACTCACTGTACTGTATATACCTACATGGATATGCCCTATCCTCGTGCGCTTTACGCTTCACGCTTCACAGTTTTCAACAAACCTTTGAGTGAACGTGTTGTCACCATTAGCTGCTAGTGCAGCATATATTTTATTGAATTATCTTTCTCAATGACTATAGAAACACTCCTTGCTTTTGCTCCTCATGCTGTGTTTTATTTGATACCATCTTATAATGCTTCAGTACCTACCTTTTCCAGTCCCACTGCTTTTTTGTTGTGATTTCTCTCCTCGAAATCCCGAAAGCAGAATTTTCATTTTATCTTTGCATTTTTGCCTTGATATGTCCTTACTTCTTCCGATTTTCACCCAGCCGTATTTTTTTAAAATTTTATTGTTGAAAATCCCATGCTGGGGATCCCTACAGTATAGTTTCGATACAATTAGATTAGAATTAAATATTTTTTTCCACCACTTCATTATTTGTCTTCCATATGCACTTCGTGATATCTTGCTCGCATCTACGAAAATACTGAGATTGCCCAATTTACCGCCACCTATTGGAGCGCGAAGCGCGAACTACCCTATTTACACAACATTTTAAAACGAACACGGAAACTTAAAATACCTAGAAAAATTAAGGAACACAACTAAAGCATTAGTAAGCGAAACAAAAGACGAATCCTGGCCAGTTTCCTCTACAATAATGGAAATCGACTTTTTTTATACTTCAAAGCAGATAGGGGAGTTTTATTATAACACAAGAGGAAATAATCAAGTAAATTACTTCCCTATTCAGGGTCCGTCATCTTCATGTTATTCGCAGTACCTATAGATCTGCTTCCATTTAGTCCAGGAAGGTTTTTTTTTGCAAAATGTTGCTTCGAAATAAGTATAATGGTAGCCCCTTAATGACATAGTGAGTTATACCTATTATTTATAAATATAAAATCCATTTATAACATATTCTTTCCTTTTTTTCTTTAGTTTTCTTAAGTGGATTTAAAGCATGGACATTAACCCATTAATATTAACCTGTTTAATATTAAATCCATAAAACAATTAATAAAAAGGAGACAAAAGAATTTTTCAGAGAAGAATATACAATAGTATATTGAGATACACGGAAAATAAGAACGACAAAAGTAGAAGAATAAGAGGAATTAAACAGATCTATAGGGTTGAAAAAATATTGAACCAGATGGAAATAAAAATTAATAAAAAGTAAAAGACACTGCAAATAATAAAAATAATGCTTAGAAATAATAAATAATATCTTTTTTGAAATTTTCTGTCCAAAAGCGAACTTACAGCAATATTATTATAAATAACAAAACACATTAAGTGTGTCCTACCCCAAACCAAATCCTAAAACAACAGAGATCAGAGTGTACTTCTCGATTGGCAAGCATAACATATATATAAGCTGTACACCCATACTTTAGACCAGCGAAGTCAAAATTCTCCTCGTCCTAGCACGTGGCTTTCCATTTCAGCTTTTGAACCTTGTTCGAAGGCAAATCGCTATAGCCGAAAAACGTGATTGCGTCATTTAATAAAAACTTGGAGAGATACATGTATCTTCCAAACAACCAAAATGCGAGTAGTAAAAACATTGGTCTTCTCAATGCTTCAATATGGTGGTTGTACAAAAAAAGTGTACATATTATGAAATTATGAATATAATTTCAGTGTATGAGGATTGTATTACATAGGGCTGGTGCAAATAAATTAGGATAAATAGTAAAGGGCTATACCTATTTATAGCACATCAATTTTATAAAAAGTCTTACCAATCCTGTGCTGCACACGCATTCGCAGTTTTTTACAGGCTTTCACTTGCGGTTGTTCTTCGTACGGGGGAACTGTCTTTACCGGTTTTTGAACACGTGTCTCGCATTACTGACACTGAGATCACAAGGTAGAGCACATTTGCTTCTGTATACGATTTAAAAGAGTATTCGCGGTATTTTTCGCGTAACTATAAACGGGAGAGAGAGAGAATGTCTGTTGTTAGCGGCAGTCAAAAATAGAGACAATACGTCTGTTGCTAACTTAGTCAACAGGGAGGAGAGCGTACGTCTGTTGTTAACGATAGTCAACAGGGAAGAAAAGAGAGTACGTCT